TATGAACCCAGCTAACAAGTCAGCTAGGGAATACACTGGATTTTGACTTTCCCCTGGTTCATGCAAAGAGAGAGAGAGAGAGACAGAGATTCACTTTTGCTCTTCTCCTCCCCTCATTATTTGATAGTTCTTTAAAGAGTTTCAAGTTTTACTTTGCCTTCTTTTGATCAGGAGGAAATTGTAGTGTAGGAATGGAAGCACAGCTGTGTCTTTGGCTTTGAACTCACCAGGTCTAAAAGCCTGCAAGAATATTTTTCCTTTCAGCTCTCCAGCCCGGCTCATACAGCCTCATGATAAAGGGAGATGTTAAATTGTCCTCAAGGATTACTAGAAAGGTAAATTCTTCAATCCAAAGCTCACAGTGGAATTGTGTTGGGGGTGTAATTTTTTAAAATTTAAATCCTTAATAATTTAAATGTCATGCTTTTGGAATTGCAGGTCTCGATTCCTATCGTTTTCCTTTTCCTTTTTTTTTAAATAAAAAGTTGGGCTTTTTCTAAAAGAGGAATGGTCTGGTTTTATGGCGGGCTTCTAGAACTACAGATGGCATTCAATGTGACAGCGCCATCTAGTGGTGCCACAAGTTCATAATCCAGAGAAACATTTGCTGGTGAATTCCAGAAATCCCTTCTCTTAAAATCAAGGGTAAGAATACTTCAGCCCTTGGTATTTCAGGATGAACCAATGTTTTAGGCGTGGTTCCTTTGGAATAAGGCTCCTCAAGGATGATCCGGAAACGAACAATGGAGTAACTTGAAACACTACGAGGAATGGCAGTGGCTGAGTTCCACTGAAACCCTATTGAGTTCCCAAGATCTTGGGTGCCTGAAGTTCTGAAGACAAAGACCAGAGTGCTGCAAAAGGGATGAATTAAGAGGAAAGAGTCCTTGGGAGTAATAGGTCAATGCAGAAGTAAGTCCATTTTCCAAGTAGCCTCTCTGACTGCTAATTCTTCTTGCACCATGGCTGATGCTTGATGAAAACACTGGAGCATAGAAGTTTTTAGCTGAGAGAAGTGGAGAGGTGGGACAAGGTTCTCTCTCAGCTAGATTACCTGGCTGTCATCTTTCTTGTGTCCAGGCTATGGGAGTCTGTTGTGCAAGTTCTTCAGGACCCTTAAAGATATGTATCTTGCCACCCCCGATAGGTGCTATTTTGTCTCGCCCAACTGATTTGGAGAATATGGTTTCCCACGATTCCTTCTGTCTTCAGCCTCAGATTTTTCATTTTCTTGGACTCTCCTTCCCCTTTTTTA